TGAAACTTATTCATTTTCCTTCTGAATGTAAAACAACAACCATTCATGCTATCAGTGACCTGACTGCTTCAGGTTTAACGCAAAAACACATGATCACACCGGCAAGCCCAGTGCATCGCCACCTAGGTTAGAGTACGTGACTGGAATGTCTGCGTAAAAATACTGCAAAATTTCTGGTTTTGCTGTTAACATCTGATCTTCTTTATTTGAGGTATGGCATCAAAGTGGTTAAAATAAATGATAATGTGGAATAGCGGTGGAGAAAAACAGAAAATTCATTTTTAATATGTGCAAATTTTTGTTGTATGCATATTGTTCATCTCCATTTTCGCGACCTTGATTATGTTAAAATAAAACACAGTTTATCAGATTTTTCAAATAGTAAATCAAAATCAAGAACACTCGCTATGTTGCTGGAGGTGTTTGGCGCATTTCCTTCATTGATCTACAAAAGTATAATTGTTTTTATCAACACTGATCATTGCTGTATGAAATAACGCGGACTACATACCACGGCTTTTTGTCGGACGGTCGCCTGATGTCTCATGGTTAGCGTGAGCAGTAATTTACTGTTGTAGAAACACAGCAATAATTGAATTAGGACATCTTCGGGCATATAAATAAGTGTGAAATGTTAAGGCGTAATCTTATTCCTTTTAATCGATAATCAGAAATGCAAACAGTGCTGAAGTTTGTTCATTTTTGAAAACGCAGACTGAGAATGGAACACTAGGAAGGTGTGGAACTCAAGGGAACTCTGGCCGGAAAGAGTGCTTGCAACCAGTCTGTGATCTCAGACTTGGCGCCAGTGGAGTAGCGCAGCCTTCTTTTCCCATTTCTACGCGTTTTGCATATATGAAAATACAGAAATGCGTATTGTGACGACTGCGATGTGTGTGTGCGTGTGTGTGTGTGTGTGTGCGTGTGCCTGTGTTTGTGTGTGTGTGTGTTTGTGTGCGCGTGTGTGTGTCTGTCCGGTTATTTCAACTCGGCAATCACGCAAGCTGCAGCGCCAAAATTTTGCTACTGGTTTCTTCGGCCAGGCATCGCCTCAGGACCGCAGCAGCAGTCTTCGTGCACGTTGGCACTACGTACGAGCGCATGAAAGTTTTGGGAAAATCGCTAATTCGGGAGCCAGAAAAGCTAGAAAGCTGAAGTCTTGTGGTTATTTCTCCGTCCACACAGGACTCGAAGACTTCAAATTCGGCCGCCAAGTTTGCGTGGTTCTCACGTACTGCCCCGTGAAAGTTTTTGGTGGGAAAATCGCTAACTCGGGAACCAGGACAGTTGAAAGGGTGAAGTTTTAAGGGGATGTTCCCAAAGTCCACGTGCAACTAAAAGATTTAAAATCCAGACCCCAGGCATGCGTGGTTCTTATGTACGGCTACGCAAAAACTCGAGGACCAAAAAAGACAGGAAGCTAAAATTTTGAGGGAATATCCCTTGATAAGTATCATGCAGTTGCATAATTAACTTTCTGAACTTTGATGGCCAGTATTACATAAGTTCTAGCTATTGCAACTCCAAATCATCTTACAACAACAGCGCGAAATACTGTAAAAGCGCATGGTTGCACGGGCCTGTCCGGTGAGCGTTGCCAGTGATTTCGTTTCTTCATCTCGAGCACTCTAGTGGTAAACGATAAAAAGTGTAAGGTTAGTGGTAATAACTTGGAGGACTGATACAACGGCTGGAAAATCGAGTTGAGAAGTGTCACGTTGAATAAATGCATTGCGCAGGCTTGCTCTATTAAAATGAGGGGAGGAGTGGGGGATCGCGAGGAGGGAAGGGCCGAGCTGAAAATGGCGTAGGATTTTGATAACTAGAGTGGGTTCAAAAAATTGGCCAGAGATAGTACATTTATAACCAGGCACCCGTTCGAATGAGTATTTAAGCTCCCTGTCGCAAAAGCGATTTGGAACATGCTGCACGCTAGCGGCTTTGTTGAGCTGATGACTATATTGTTATTATAGACTGCTTAAATGGATGTGGGCGGGGTTGATCTGTATGAGGTCAGAAAGGGTTGTTGGTCCCTCTCCTAGATCAGTTTTGTTTCTGGAGTCTTTGGGACATTGTGGGTTCTGGGCTTTTGGTACGCCGATTGTTGTGTTTTGGGTATCTGACAATTTAATGTCCGCTTGCGTCGATATTTTGTGAAAGGAAATTTTGATCGAAGCCGAAGAAAATTCACCTGGACCCTCTCTATTCAATTTTCAAGTACACCACTTTCTGATTTTTGACACAGTAAAGGTAAGTTTTTAGAGTACTATATAAACCAGGATTGAAAATGTTTTTTTTTTTTTGCATTCATCGAACCTAAAGAATTTGTATTTTCTGTAGAAAAGAAAAGAAAAATTTTGTGTAGAGTGAAGATGTAAGCATTACACTGCTATTTCGTGACAAGATTTGTGATTTCATGCCTACTTTTTCATGTTTTATGGGTAGCTGCATGGTCTCTGCCTCGATAACACTTGATGCGCATTTCAACAGCATTGTGCGTTGCCCAATCTTAGTTGGCCAGAATACCAGAGTGGGCCTTTTTGGCATGTTTGCAGTTTTTGGGGTGTGTTTTTCTTAAGCGACAGCAGCGAGTTACTACGAACAGGGTTTGGAAGGGATCTTCTATGGATGCATACGGCATCTGATGGAATTTTTAACATGGGATCTTCACGGCAGCCACATATCCTGTAGGATTTGCAAATTTTCTGACTAAAACTTGGGTGATTCATTCACATATGCAACAAACCAACGCTGAGAGTTCCGAATCGATAATCCGCCGTTCTTCCTGATATGGCGGTCTTGCGGCCCAATTTTTGCGAAACGAACTTTTTTGATTTGTTAGATCGGTAAAACCGGGTAGCCAGGATGTAAACTCAATGTTTATGTGTACAGAGC